GCATGGGCGCCGCATAGGCTTGAGCGATTGCCGATCATTGCCGCTTGCGGCTATATTTATTATTATTATTATCATTATTATTATTATTATTTAAAAGATGCCTAGGCCATGATGTTTAATAATGTGGACATTAACAACCATGTTAAATATCCAGTGTGCCTTATGGAATGTTGAGAGGAGCCTCACATTCTATTGAGGTTCTGGGCCTGTTGATGGTAAAGAAATCATCACAGATCCATTGATTTTGGTTGGATTTTTATATTTTTTTCTGTGGAATGACTATACTGTTTGAAGAAAAGAATGGCATATTGGCTGATGTCAAAACTTGGGGGAATAGTTGAATGAGGTAAAGATGAAAATATTGGAAAAAAGTGAATAAATGCCTTATTTTTTGGCATTAAATTGAGCCAAAATCATGTAGAAATGTGTTTTATGAATATTTTTTTCACTGAATGTTGTCACCACGTGTTCTTTGCATCTGGAATGTATTTGTAGACAGCTTACCCAATCCACTGAGGATTTGAGGAAATTTTTCATTTTTCAAAATTTTCTATCACAAAATGAAGGTTACCTACACTAAAATGGCCACAATTTTTTTTCGCGATATTTCCGGAAGAGCAGACCTTCCAATTATTGGTCCTTAGGGTCACAGTTAACAAAAAAAACACAAATAAAAAGTATGGCAGGCGATGTCAGGTTCAACCCATTTTTGAGACTTTGGCTCCCCGACTATATAGAAATGACCCACGTTCGGAGTCCCACTAAACCAAACCAGCTCTCTGGTGTAATCCTGGTCTAGTCATGGTTTAGTCCTGGTTTGGTTTTGTAGGCAGCTCTGTTTATGTGAGTGATGGGGCACTAAACTGTTCACATACTGTAAAATGAAAGTGAAAGGGAGTTTAGTGCAGAGTTTAAAGCCCTTATGTAGACCAAACCCAGCTTCAGTCCTGGTTCAGACTTGGTTTAGTCTTGGCTCAGACCTGGTTTAGTCGTGGCTCAGAAATGGTTTAGTCCTTGCATAGACCTGGTTTAGTCCTGGTTCAGAACAGCTTCAGTCTTGGTTCAGACCTGCTTCAGTCCTGGTAAAATCCATAAAACACCACGTCACTCCAAACCTACTTACTCACAGCCATCTTCCATTTCCCTTGACAATGCTTTTACCCATGATGCTCTGAGACGACAGCTACACCCCTCCCGCAGCTGTATGGAGGAACATTTTACAAAACAGTCTTAACACCATTTTGCCATTTGAATCTTATTAGTGATTTGACGCTTTTTTGCCGAGCGTGGATGGTGCATATTAAAGAGCTGGCTCAGGAGAAGTGAGAGAATGGGGCACATGTCAGCACTGAGATTTTTTGGCAGCGCTCAAACTGTCAGCCTGACGGATTTAAAGGGAAGGTTCGCTCACGGCTGTCATCTGCATCCATCACGGCAGACTGACGAGCACTGCCACCTTTAAACAGAATGAGCCCAGACGCTGCGTTTGCTGTCACGCTTTGGGATGTAAAGCACGGAACAGGAACGCAGGACCCACGGAGGTGGGGCTGGAGGATTATTTGATAGTATTGTGTTTTTGGACAAATATTGTGAGATTCTGTGTGAGAGATTTGAAATGTATTTTGAAAAGTATAACTCAGTTTATAGTATACTTGAGAGAATACTGACATGTTTACTGCTAAACTAACTTCCAAATCTCTGGATAGTTTTATTTGTTATTATAGCAATCAATATTTTTGCCTTGCTTTAGACAAGTTCTCATCAAGACCCAGTGTGTCATGGTAAAGGAGACCTGTTTTAGTTCATGATTCTGGTATAGTAATACAGTATGGTAATATTTTGGTAATATTTTTTTTGACTCTGGCTTTACATCTATTTGATCCCGGTTATCTGAATCCATATCCACTTTATTTCGTATTTCGTACACATTTTACAAACAAAGCAGTTTCCAAAGTGCTGCACAGAGATCATAAAATGAATAATAATGCATCAGTTTTATATAGCGCTTTTTTGGACACTCAAAGACACTTTACAGAGCATTATTCATTCACTCCAAACCCAGTGGTGGTAAACTACTACTGTAGCCACAGTTGCCTTGGGGCAGACTGACAGAAGCGAGGCTGCCAATCTGCACCATCGGCCCCTTCAACCACCACCATCACTCGCACACACACCACTTTCATACTAGGCAATGTGGGTGAAGTGTCTTGCCTAAGAACACAACTACAGTTATTCCCACTGGCACCCTCCTGTGGCTTGTGGGTGTGTATTGTCTTTAATTATTTACTCGCTCTGCTGAGACAGCGGGAGTTGCATAATGTAGTTGAGGAAGGCAGAGGGCACCCAATAATTGTTTAGGGCTGGTCACAGAGAATGTCCTGTCCCCCCGGTTTTAAGTCTCTTCTTAGGCACCACGAGCTGGAGCTGGACCTCGGACCTCAGAGCGCAGGGGTGAAAATTTTATTGAGGTTCGAGACGTACTGTGGGGCCAGTTCATTCAAAGCTTTAAAACCAAACAATAAAATCTTAAAATCAACTCTAAAACAACCAAAAACGCTAAAATCAGGGTAACATGCTCAAGATTTTTGGTTCCAGTTAAAAATCACACAGCAGAATTTTATACCACCTACACGCGTATTTCGCCCTACGCGAGCGTAAAAACTGCAACTTTTGGACACATAACTTTTAGAAGGTATGTAAAGTGACTGAGGGCGGCTCCACTGCATGTGCTACACACGCGTATGGAGCAGCACGTCTTGCGCACGTAGATTTCAGAATTTTTGGACGCTCTACGTGAGCGTACATGCGTATCCCCATCAAAATACACAGAGAGCATGAATCTTTGGTTGTATTTGTGCGTTTACCATCAGCACAACGTGCTCCTGGGGCAGATCTGTGTCGTGTGAAAGAGCCCAAGTCCAGAAAGACTGCTAATTAGTGCTTTAAAATGTACTTTTGAAATCCTCATGTTTGCCATGGCCAGCCTGTACAGAAGGTAAATACCAGCCTGATCAGCTGTTAGTTTCACTGTTGACCTGATACAAGCGGCTAAACGTACCCAGTCAAGTTTGATTGTGGAGCCAGGCCCTTACAGTCGTCTCTGGTTATGTTCTGAATTAGCTCCTCATACTGCTTTAGCATCCAGGTTTAGTCACATTATGAGAGCTAAATTCCAAATTATTTGGACCTGTTTTGGTTGTGGTTTTATCTTACTTACTACAGTTGTAGGCCTAGTCCTGATTAAGAACTGGTTTATTAGGGACTATTTTTGACATAGTTCAGCCCTGGTGTATGTCGAGTCTTGCTTAGACCTGCTTCAGTCTAGTCCTGGTCTTCATGACACTTGTAAAGTCAAGCTAATTCTGGTGTTTCATGGTATCCAGCCCAATCCAAGTGTATTTGTGTAGCACATTTTCCAAACCATATCATTTCCAAACTACTGCGCATTACAGCAATATATAGCAAATATTTAGAAACCAGCAGAATTACAATCCAGACAAAAGGAAGTAATAAAAGCAATGAATGAGAATAATAAAATCAACCAATCAGATATGAGATGCACTGTGAGGCCAGTCCACTCAAAGCTTTAAAAACAAACAATAATCTTAAAATGAATGTTTAAATGAACAGGAAGCCAGTGCAAAGACACAAGAAAAGGGGTGATGTGATGGTGCTTTTTACTTCCTGTTAAGACTTGTGCCTGAGTTCTGGACTAAGAGCAGGTGGAAGGACGTGTGATGAAAAGGATAATAAGTCATAATTCTTCAGCATAATGGATGGAACATATTTATTCAGTGTAATAAACATAAAAGGCTTCTTATGTAAATGTGAGTAGAGTGATTATTCTAATGTGCATAGATACAGACCCGGGTCACAAAGAGGCTGTACTGTGCCTCTGAGGCAGGTGCACACTCATTACAATTCTACAGAAGTAAAGTCATGTACAGAAATCACCCTCTACTAAACAAGCCTTCACCTGGAACAGTAACACTCACAGTGTCACCACTTTTTAGCTCCACTGCACGCAAGCATGAAGACAACCACAGCAAATGATGCAACGTCTTTGCCAAACTAGCAAAAGCAAGTCAGAAGTTATGGAAATACTTTAAAATAGACACATTTAGCCTAATGGGAGCTTTAAGCCATGACATAATGTAGTTTATGTCTGTATTCCTGCGTTTGTGTAATCCTCTGATACGGCTGTCTCCTTCTGAACAGACGGTAATGTGAAGTAAAGCAGTCTAAATGAGGCTATAAACTATAGCTGCTAGCTTCCAAGCTGAGATCCATCTTAAAAGGTGCTCTCTTCAAAACATGAACATGTTGTGCAGTTGCAATGGTCCACAGTTACACTAGGGGTCCACAGCAACTAGCATGCTAATACGGACTTCCTGATTACCAGACAATAAAATGCTTTATAACTAGATGAAGATGAAATGGTTGTAAAACAAGACAATTAAAAAAATATATACGTTTACGATACAATAGTACTACTGTTAAATATAGAATTATAGAATTCATAATAGGATTTATTTTTAAAAAGTAATTTCATTTTATTGATATATGATTATTATTTGTATAACGTGATTATATTATATTATACTATTTTCTGGTGTTGTGGAAAGATTTTGGTTTTTATGAAACCGGTGAACAGCAGGGGGAGCTCCCGTTCGGTCTCGGGTCATTAAAACCATTCACTTAAGACCTGAATGCCCGCTCTTTTATTTACTCAAGTTTCATCCCCCTTTTTTAGGGTCCGTGGTTGTAACACAGACAGCATTCAGTTTTTGGGGGGTTTTTTTCCCACCTCAAGAGATGCTTATCCAATATAGCTGCATTGGGGCAAGACATATTTTGCTTAGACACATGGGAAAAATACTGATATAGATTAGGAGCCAATATGCATGATTGAAACATATCTTTGGTGAAAACAACATTATAACAAACAGAAGATGAACTGCCCTGTCTAAAGTGTAACAGGACAAAAGCTGACAGTGTACCTGGTACTGGGGGTCCTGGGTAAGGCGGCTCAGCTCTCTGAACTCCAGCTGCACACTGGTGACCTCTGCCAGGGTGCTGTCTGCGGTCCAGCGAGGAGGGTGTGCCGTGCCCTTTCCCAGGTTCACGTCTGAGAATGGGATCTTAGATGGGGTTCTGAAGGCGGGCATGAGCCGAGAGCCCAGGTCCTTCTGTAGAAGAGTACAGGGCTGTGTGAGAGCTCATTTAGTCAGTAGACGAGATAAACCTAAGCTACACTGTCACCTTAGTTTGACTTATTCTATTTATTCTTGCGCTTTGACTGCTCAATGTGCTTAAGTTGCCCTTTAAGGATACTTTATGGTATAATGATGGTCTGAACTAAAAGAAAAGTAAATAAGTAAGCATTGAAAGCACTGAAGAATGAGGAGCTCTGTTGCAGAACTAAGTTATTTAATGTCCTTTTACCATGGCTACAAACTGATACGTCTCACCTGTGAATGTCATTAAATGTCTCAAATATGAGTTTTTCTGTGTTTTACAAAAGCTACTGTAAAATTAATGCAATGTCATTAGCCATAGGAGGACTCACAGACTGTGGTATAATGAGATAACATTCACATTATACAATGATCCGAATCAGGATCCATTTGCCTACATAGTCCGCTTGACTGGGCAATAGAGAATGTATAATAAAACTCTGACCCAGGTCAAAGAAACAAGCTCTGGTCTGATCAGGGAGGTGGGTCTTGGTCTGATTGAATCACACTCTGAAGCAATTTGTGTGAATTGTAAACACATACAACACTATGAATGTAATATGAAGTGCAGATTTTACTGTCAACTAATAAAGACCAACATAAGTCACACGCCCTGGCTGTGTTATATACTTTAAAAATTAGTCTTGTTCCAAAGTTAATATCATGTGTGAGTGCGCACAGCTTTGTTCAGGAAGAGGGGGTCCTTGGTGAGGTGGTAGGTGCTCAGCAGACTTCCCAGGATCCTGATGGTGGTCTCAAACAGGTTCACGTCCACATTCTTCTCAAAGGTCAGCTCCTTCTCCACCCACTCCCTGGCCTCGGCAAACTCTGATAAAGTACAGGAAAATGAACAATAAATGAAATGTATCACTTTGAAAGACAAAACAGTATTTGCCTGACAAATCCAGAATGATATCTGTCTGTATTTTTTATAACAGACTGATATCAGTCTGGTCACCACGCCCTTCTGTCATGTCATTTACAAACAAAATCATATTTCTCCTCAGATGAACAGTTTAGTGCCTCTCTCATTGTTTCTGTAGAAATGCATCATGCTTTTTAGTCCCCCCGTGATAGTTTTTCCTATATATTTTCCTTGTAAGCAGCCTTATTTGTTTATAGATGGACCATGCAAGCCCCTGATTGGCACCCGTCAATCACATCCACCTGAACTGAGGAAGATTCACCAGTGACCAGACTCACATCTTCATTTTCATCATATTAGAGAAGCGTGTATTCTGAACCATAAGCAACAGTATTTTGCTCTATTTCTAGTATTTAATGATTAATTAATACATTTAGCAGTGTTTTGTTCACAGCAAACCTCAATGTTGATCTCAAAAACTTAAATACTGTAGAAACAGTAAGAGCCTCGTCGCTTCACAGTGGCATTTTACCAGAGCAAGTACTAATTTTCATTTACATATTCCCTATTTTTGAATATGGCTACGTTTTTGAACATTTGTGTATAACCCTGAGACAGAATTTACCACATAATCACTGTGCAGAGCAGTGGGAGGTGAACACAGACATTTTCTGAGCACTCAAGCCTTGAATGCAGAACAATACAGGATTACTCAAATATTCATGAATCACTCCAGAAACAGTCTGGGAGACTTGGCAGTGAGGGAGAACCAATGGTAAAAAGCTTATAACCGTGGGTTTCATGTTTATAAGTGACAATTTGAGGAATTTGCCCATTTAAAAGATAAATACCAATTTTAATTAGAATTGTAAGCTGCAATTACAACAATGATAATTATTCATCACTCTGACACCCAGGGATAGGCCAGATTTGGGTTAACACAATCTGACCATAAAGAGCTGACTAAAGGCCACTACACACTACAGGAATTTTTAGGTTAAGACAATTTTTAAATGTGCAACAAACGGTGCACATCACAGACGCGAGGAGAATCATATGAGATTTAAAATCTTCAATCACAAAGACTGCAGCGGCGGGATATGTCTGCGGACCACAGGATAAAAATATAAGCGTCAGCTGTTTCTGCATTGCACTTCCAGTTTAGAAGACAAAAATGTGTTATTATTATTTGTGAAATGTGGTGCAATACATGATAAGTAAAGCATAAAAGATTGGTGATAAAGTACAAAGGAAGTAGAGTCACTATCACTAATCTGCAGCTTCACTTTGATCTGTGCACTGTGTGGATCTAAACAGACACACGTGAGGAACTACTCTCACCTTTTTACTTTTAAAGAACACCTGAAACTGGATTCACAGCTCTGTTTTGTGGACTGGATGTCGTTATTTACAGAGGACAATTTGTAAGATAATAATAATAATAATAATAATAATAATAGATTTGATAACGTGGATGAGATGCTGCAGTTTAAATTTACCACAGTAGGAGAGGTGAGTAATAATTATTTTCACAAATTTCCTAAGTTTGTATGTTGCGTCTTTGTGCCCGTCACTCATCTGCCCCTGATGCTGTGTTTTATTGTCTGTTATCGTAGTGTTGCTGATGTTTGGTGGTTATGATCTGACAGAGCAGCTCAGAGTTCCACTGACACCACACACGAGGAGCACAGCGGCTTCAAATTAGCACGAGACAAAAAGTCAAGTCACGCCTCCTCGAATTCGGGAGTGGGCAAATTCTCCTGTAGTGTATGGCTGCCTTTAGATGGAACTACAACAGGTGAGCCAACAGTTCAGTCAGTCACCTTTTATGAAAATCAAACACTTAAACAGGACCATGAAGGCTTGTATCGATCACAAGCTCCTGAAAATGTGCTGTTTAAATTCCTTGTATTTGTTCAGATCATTCAAAAACTTGGCTGTGTGAACATTCCGCCATAGACCTACATGCATTACCGCCCCCCAGTGTTATCACATTGCAAAGCATCCATACACTGGTGTCTGGTGCATTGTGGCCGTACCCTCAGTGAGTCCCAGGATCCACATGGTGTCCAGCGCGTCCACCAGGGTCAGGCCCAGCCCGAACCACTCCGCGTGGGACTTGGACACGGGCTTGAGCTCGTCGTGGCCCCAGGCATGCTCCCTGTAGCCCTTCCAGGCGTGTCTGAAGGCCTCCCGCACCGCCTCCTGACGCTCCGCACTCGAGAGGACTGGGGAGAGACGAGATAGAGACAAGGACTATCAAACTATATGATACGTGGTAGAATTTATAAAAGGTTCAAATCTAATTAAAAGATGATGTGATTTGCAGGGCTGTAGTTCTTTAGACGACTGAACAGTCGATGGAGTCTACCAAAATGTGTATGTCAAAAGGCAGTATACCGTATTTTCCGGGCTATTAAGCGCTTTGGATTATAAGAGGTACTGTTTTTAAATGGTCTATTTTCGAACTTTTTTCACAAATAAACCATACTTTAAACGAAACACAACAGTTTGATGGAACAGTGGGACTGTTTGGTGCATTCATGGTGACTCTGTGCTTTCTTCAGTTGTGGCGTGTTCGCAGTGACTCAGTTTTTCAGTTGTGGCTCAGAGTGGCACATTGCACTCGCTTTTTCGGTTCGTTCCTCCGTTCCGTTCCTCGTCCGGGTGAAGTGATGAGTCTGAGTGTCTGTGGGTGTTTCGCTGTGCGGTCGCTGTCTGCTCCATGTGCGTTTGGGTGAGCTGTAGGTGGTGCGGCTTTGTAGTTTACTGAAGTTGCTGGGACGAGTGGATTCGTGTATAGGGCGCTCTGGATTGCGGGGAGCACGGTCGTTTTTTGGGTTAGAGTGCGTCTAATAGCCCGGAAAATACGGTATTTGTATTTATAAGTAAAAAGGCAGATTCAACTCATGATTCATAAGTTTAATCTGTCTTTAAAGCTGCACTGTGTAACGTTCTGGTTTTATACCTCAAAAATACCTAGAAAAACAGGCATTCTAACTCTGCGTGGGATTGCCTCTCCACAGATCTGACATGTAACTTGATTTATTTTGGTGTCCATGATGACAGAAAGGTTTAATACCATACTGTGAGACAAAGCAATAACATCTCCATGGAGAAAAGCATTTGACCTTCCACTTCCAGCAGAAAATTTACACAATGCACTTTTAAATAAATACATAGTTTCCTAGTACTTTTGTTTGCATGAATAGTACTTTTTGCATGAACTTCCCCTGTGGGTGTAGTCTTGTGAGTGCAGTTTGGGTCAGATACACAGAGACAAGGGATGATTTTGAAAACTTTTGCCACAGTCCCTTTTTAGTTGAGCAATCGATCCTCAGCACATCTTCAGTCCACCAAGAATGTCTTTAGTCGACTACAGCGCTAGTAATTTGATTTCCAAGGTCAACAGTAGCTTTAGAGTTAGAAGATACTTAAGAGCTGTGCTAAAATTTTACAAAATTATGTCAAACACAAACACCTTAGCCATCATGTTCGTGCCATGTGTTTTTAGAATTAAGAACAAATCAGCAGTATAATTGTTATCAGTAAAAGCTATGTCATATCTGAGGACACAAGTTTATTTAAAATCTAAATCTTACGTAAGGTCCAATAAAGGTGCATTCTGTAAACTTTTTAATGTAGGGTGCATCAAATATTAGTCCAATGAGGTACATTTGGTCTTCTGATCATTTACACTACCGGTCAAAACTTTTAAAACACGACACTTTTGTTTTTTACTGATTACTGTTTACTGTTGACCAAAACATATCATTCTTTTCACAATAGATATCAAATATTCTTCAGAAAGTTCTTTCCAAGTCTGTTGCAGAAGTTTCCATAAATGTGTGACACTTGTAGGTTGCTTCACTCTTCTGTCCAGTTCATCCCAAACCATGTTCAGTGTTTTCCAGCTTTACCATCTTGTTCTTTTTTCCTGAGGTAGTTTTGGCAGAGCTTGGACTTGTGTTTTGTATTTTTAATCTTTATTTATTTTTTTTTACATCTGTCTGTTCAGTTCTTACCTTTGTACCATTTCAAGCTCTTGAATTGCAATAAATAACTGGAAAAATGAGGGTGTTCTAAAACTTTTGACTGGTAGTGCATGTTATTACACATATTAGGTTCTTTAATTAGACCAAGAGTTTGTTTTCATACCTGACAGTTTGATCTGCTCCCTGCACTCTTCCTCAGAGTCATGTGATGTTGCTGTGACATGTCTGCTCAGTGGATTTAAAAAGGTTTTGGCGCCGTCTTCCTACCGGTGGAGGCAGGATGATAGCGCCATCTTGCAGACCGACTTCCTCAGGACAGTATCTCAGGTGTGTGAGAGTAAAAAAGCCCCTTGTCTCGATTTACTCTCACACAACTCCTGGGATACTGTCCTGAAAAATTCGGACTGCAGATGTCCGCTGTTGTCCTGAATCCACTGGCAGGAAGACAGTACAAAAACCGGTAGAAATGAGCTGACCAGACATGTCACAGCAACATCACGTGACCACTCTAAGGAAGGCCGCTAGTGAGCAGTCCAAACTGATGGGTTTTTTTACCGTGAAGATGTTATTGCTTTGTCTGGAATGTTTCATAGTATGACATTAAACCTTTCTATCTTCATGGAAACCAATCCAGACCAAGTTACAGGTCACGTGGAGACGTGGAGACGTGACCCCGCTCACAGTCAGAATGTCTGTTTTTTTAGGTGTTTTAGAGCTATAAAACCGCCTGTAATGGAATAAATGTAAAGTAGAGCTGTTTAATGTCACACTGTGGAACATTCCAGGCAGAGCAATAATATATCCATAGAAACGAGCAGGTGACAAACCCCCAACTGACAAGTTACATAGCACACCTTAAATACAGCAGTCCTATTACTTTTTTTGTTTGAAACTTGACCTTCAACCAAGACCCTTTAAAGCTACCATGTGTAATTAGATTTCCAGTATTTGTATGTTGTAAGACAGGTTTACTGATATCTACTAATAGAACAAAAATTAAGTAATAATAAACATGTCGATCGCTTTAAACAGCACATTTTAGATTACAAAAACATGATCTGATTATAGTTGTTGGGAAATTTCTTCAAATCTTAATCTTGTGCTAGCTCAACCCACGCAGTATTAGAGCACACAGCAGGGGGTGAGGCGCAGACTCCAGCCTCTCAGCATGAGCGTTCATTTGGAGAGCACACATGTGTACATGAGGGGAATGGGACAGTATTAGTAAAAAGCATGCACAAAGCAGGCTGAACCCACACCTGTAAGACACAAAGCTCCATTTGGACAACTACTTTAAAACAGAGGTATTTTACATACCGTATTTTTCGGACTATAAATCGCACCGGATTATAAGGCGCAATATCAATAATGTTGAATTCTCTCGTCTATTTTCATACATAAAGTGCACCAGATTATAAGGTGTATTAAGCAAAACAAATGGACGATACTTGAGACTGATCCTTAGCCCAGACTACACGATCCATTGGCAGATCGTGGCATAATTCGTCCGGTGTTGCCTCTCTGTCTTGTGAATATGTATTATGAATGTGAATGTGGGTGGATCATTTAAGTTTGGTTTATTTATTTCCTACGAGGACGACTCAAATATATATTGAGTAACAATATGTTTAATACAGCTTTGCGCACATTTGTTTTTGTTTTACAGAAATAAAGCTTAAAGCCACATGGTTAATTTGCATAAACTATCAGCTCTGAAAAAAGCTCACTCCTTGCACACTGATATGGTCAACTTCTGTCAGACTAAGGACATGATTTACTCTGTGAGGCTCCTGACTACAGTAGCCGTAATGCTCCAGCAATCCAACAAGCAGTGCGGCCTCGTAGTTTACCTAAGTCATACTAAAACATTTTGACAGATTTTCGAGTGCTGTGTATCACAGAAAATCTGTTCGAAATCAGTAAGCACAACCAGAATTAACACATAAGTTGCACCGAAGTATAAGACGCACTGTCATTTGAGAAAATTACATGATTTTAAGTGTGCTTTATAGCCCGAAAGATATGGTACTTCTATGGGGGTATTAACTGTAACACATCACATATTTAGATTGTGTTACCTTTTATTGTTTTGAAAATGCTATAGTCACAGAAAACTATGTATTGACATGTTTTACATTTTTGATGATTTGAGTCTCTCCTTCCTTTGCTCTCCATGCTGAGTCACTCCCCCTTCAGAGCGCTATCTCAACACAATCAGCGTGCATTCCACTTAAACTAGTCAAGTTCTTGTGTACAGTTGTATCATGTTTTGTATATTTATAGAGAATGTCGTGTGGGAGAATAGGTGAAGTAGGCTTGTGGGTGGAGCACTGCACAGAATCTCACAGCTAACCACAAGGAGGGTTTGAATAGTCCCCAGAAGAAATCACTAAATTAGTCAAACATGCATGAATATCATCTGAAACCTTTTAAAGTTTTTGATGAGGGAACAATATTATAACATGGAAGAAAGCTCCAAAAAGTAGACTTTTCATAATACTCTTATTCTTTAAGGCAAACGGCAGCAGTGACATGAGCAAAGACAGATTCTGACTGAGACATGTGACCTAGTGTCCCTGTCTCCATCAGACACAGTGCGTCAGTCTTATAGCAGGTGTGCACTTGAGCAGGTCTGAAGGAGCACTCACACCCACAGCCCTCTGCTCAAGCTCTCGTCTCATTCTCCTCTGTGCACTGGCTCAGGAAACATAGCTTTGTACTGTCACCACTGCTAAAGTATGTTTCATTTGAGAATTTCTCCCACTTCACTTTTTCTTTTGTGTCTGAAATGTTCCATTAAAAGTGAAACACAATGGTTTAAGAAGTGACAGCTCCACTGGTGTGCTTTTGTTTGGGTTATATCAGGCCATTCATTTGAATCAAGTGAAAACTGTTAGGCACTGACTATTTGAAAATATGTTATCAGGAAATGTGCTTTCAATAGACCTGACTTCTCCTTTTGTTACTGGCTGAACGCTTCTGTTCACTTTCAGAAGGTTATTCACATCACTAGTACAAACACAAGTAAAGTATAGATTAATAATATAACGCATTGTCTCATCTGTTTATCTGACTGTGTAACTGGGAAACTTTAAAGGGAGGAAAATGAGTAGAACAACCTCCATAAAAAAGAACTCCCCTGGAATGTTAAAGGAACTGTATGTAAGATTTGAAATTTAACTTTTATAAACTTGACCTGTCTGTGTCTCCAGAGGTAAACATGTTGAAATCAAACATAGCTTGTATTTCATCATATCTTGTGTTATTCCATCTTTGAACTGTTGATGAAGGTACATGATTTTCAAAAAAATTTATTTAAAATGATAAACATTTGTTTGGAAGGACTGACATATTTTATAGAAATAGTTTCCTTTCATTTTGAAGTAATATTAAAGTATTCAGAAGAAAAAAGCGACAAATGATGTAAAATCATGCACCTTCTACTTGCTTGTACAATTTTCCCTCCGTTACCATGACCTTTCTTAATAAAAAATCTCATGACTCAAAAAGTAAGAGGTTTTTCAACCTAATCTTGTACCATATGGTAGAAAACTATATGAAGCAAATATTCAAACCAGTTTGTTAAGGATATGTAAGTGAGAACCAAGAGTTATCACTGTTTGGATTTATTGCCCGAAAAGTGCTGCATATTTCATTCCCTCCGTTACCAACATGAGTTTTTAAATTTTTTGTCAAAAACTTGAAAGAATATCACAGGTTTAACTTTACCCTGTTGGAGTGTAACTCTTTCCTACATTCTGATACTTTACTTATTTCAATAGTCCCTCTAGTTTCTGAATAAGAGCTATTTGAATGTAAAAAATCTGCCCCTGTTTCCCTCCGTTACCACTTGACCGGACCCTTATGTAACAATATGGTTTTCAAGGTGATTATCCAATTAGAAAGCAGAATGAGCTTCACATGAGTAAAGGTCGAGTTATACTTTGCTCCATCCTTCAACCAGTACCACTCGTGCAGACAGAGAAAATGAGAAGACCTTTTATATTTCTCTATATTAGGCATGGGACAATATTAAAATTTGGCATCATGATTGCCATGGCCAGAATAACTGTGATTAACGATTATGTCACTATAATGATTAAAGGTGCTAACAGTTAAATGTTAATTATGATTTTTTAATATCATGAATGGGTTCCATACTTAAACTGTTATAGTACTGTACTTTGTGATACGTGAAAACAACAATGATCCAGAAGAGAACATCAATGGTAAGCAACATTTTCCATCACATTCTAGTGATAAAATGCAATTATCTTAGTTGGCGATTATCACGAACGGGATGTCACGGGATGTCAAACTCAAATTCACTGACGGCCAAAATTAAAAACTGGGACTAAGTCATGGGCCAAACTAAATATTTATTGAAAAATACATCTGCATGTTTTCTCTTCTTTTGAGTTATGTAATGTTAAACCTTTTCTTATTAAAATAAATGTTTAATAATAGTGTTGCTTAAACACTGAATCCAGAACAAGCAAAATATAAAATAATAACAACACTTCAAATAAATAATGTCTCTATAGACTATCTGTAGTGGGGACAGCTCTAATACAGATTTGATATGATCTCGTGGGCCAAATTTGCCTCCCGGGCCTGAGATTGACATGTCTGGTCTACCATTTTTATCATGATCAACGATATTATTATTTATTGTCTCATCCCTGCAGGTTAAGGCACCTACTACTAAAGTACAGGATACAGGTTACATGGCTCACGATACGATATTATCACAATATGGCGATACATGAGATAGTCAATATATCGCACATGATACACTGTGACGTATTGCTGTTTTTAAGAACCAAACACATTTTAGCAATGATGTTTCTTTGTTAAACCACTATTTGTGCATAGTTTATATGAAATACATCTATTTTAATTATCAAAACAGTGAATATGTCTCTGTGTGTCTAGCATTTTCAAGTTTCACTCCACTAAATAAGCAACAAAATTGTAGTGCAGTCACAGAAAAAGTGCTCAAAGATACAAACAAAACACTCAATACAGCAAATCTCGATAACAATACAGTTGTGAATTTTCGCACACCCCTACTGGCAATTCAGGTTCAGCTGTGATTGTAGTAACTTTTTTTAAAACTGTAGGAGCACAGGCTACATACAGTTCCTTTTAACACTGTGCCTCCACCTTGTTCATTTATTACACGAGAAATCCAAAGCATTATAGTCTTCTGCATTCAAATCGTATGTATTACACAGAATTTTTGTTTTGTTGTATTCTGTATTCTGGTGAACATGCTGCAGATGAACAGGTGAGGTGAAATCACATCCTGTCTGTATGCCTGATAACCGCTCAGACTATTGTGAATATCCTTTAGGACAGTGTGATATTGGCTCTGACCTGGCAGGGCCCTGGTGTCCGTGGAGACGTCTGGAGGGGGCGGGGCTTCTCTCTGATTGGCTGACGGGAGGGGGTCGGTGCCCTGGTCGGCTTCAATCATAGCCCCTCTCCAGCTGCAACAAACACACCGCGAACACGTATGAGTTTGTACAATCAGCTCAGTTATTTGAAAGGAACAAAAAAAGTATTTCTGCACATCGCATCAGGTTTGTGAAGTTGTGGTAGAAAACTCCAGTCAATATATAATGCAATTTTCTTTTTTAATCATGTCAGGTACAAGTTAAACATTGAGCAAAGTTGTAGATTGTTAGATTTGTTATCAGACTGTAGCAGATCCTTCACTTTCACAGGGTTTGAACAGACTTTAACTTAAGGTTTTCCATGACTTTTCCATGACTTCTCCATAACTATGCCTCAATATTCCATGTCCTTGAATTAACACGTTTCAATTCATGAACTTTTATCAGCTGATTCAGACTTAATAATGAGCATATTATGGTATGGATTTATGAACAGAGAACAAATGGCAAATGTTCAACCCACGCACATGACAATGTTGCATCAAATGTGGTTTTAGCCAGTTAAACAAAAAAAACAATTTAAGTCTGAACTTTATGTGGGATATAGTCAGGCCTAGATTTCTTTTTTGTATCTATACTTTAAATTTAACCCTTTACGCATTGACATGAATAGAAACACTTAGTCCAGTTTTCTTGTTTTCCATTAGGCTTTTATTTATTATTTATTTTGTCATTTTTAAAAAATAATTTCCTCAACTTTAGAGCATTAGATAACTATATTTTGTGCTACCTGTCAGATTAGAGGATTAGAGATTATAGTCTAATTTTTGCTTTAAAGAATTTAGGGAAACATATATATAGGCCTATGTTCTACATGTTTTATGGCTTTCTTGGCTTCTGTCAAAGCCTCAAAGACAATGTTCTGAGCACCAATCCTGAGCACCAATAATACACCTGACCTATTGTGATTCAGCTCGCTCGGTCCTGCCTAGGGCCAACTCTCCACTGGCACCACATTACTATAGGCTAATGAAAGGATAACAACAGAGCTGTGTGCTGTACACTTATGGTGAGTTTAACTCGAAGTCAAAGTGCATTCCAGGAATTGTTTTTAGAAAGAATTATGTGTCTCCTCTTCAGCGGGACCCTTCTGCCAACCAAAAAAAGAAGCATTAACCTGGAATGAGTGCATCTGGCTGCGGTGTATATCCTACAGCTCTTATTCTGATTCACACACTGGATAGTGGCGGCTAGTTACTTTCACCTAAACGTCCACATGGGAGAGCATGAGGGAGAAACAGCCCCACTTATCAGAGCAGTGGGCACACACACAGACCCCCAGCCGCTACCTGCTCATTTCTGGGCAGAAAAGTAACACCTGGACGTTCCAAAAGCATTCAGGCTATTTATAGTATTATCCTTATTCTCTTTAGATGTTCAAGGTTTAAGAAAAGGCACTAAGCGCAAGGCAATTTTTCTTTTTTGCAAGGAACAACCTAAAGGACAAAAAACAAGAGGCTATTTACTTCTTTACAGCACAAGACAGGAGATTGGAAAAATACTTAATAATACTGATAATATAAATGTAGCAGGAGATGTGACTATTGTCCTGATGTTCTAACTGTTGTAGAATTCCTACACAGCACAACTCATTGAGCTCCAACTATGCAGTTACAGAGTTTACTAATCCTCTTGACCTTATTGATACTTAAAATATAAAAAAAATTATAATATTACACCCGGACTGAACGCTGTTCAGAAAGTTTTCAATCATTTGTTAACTCATGATTTGTCAATTCTGGGTCGTATTTTGCTCTCTAAATCAGAAGGCATATCAAGACTCATAAAGCAATTTTCACATCCCCAATAGTAAAGTCTAATTCAGTCATATTTCAGTTCATTTGGAAAAAATAAGACTCACTGTATTCGCAGAACACAGTTTGTAAAATATTATGAAAATAGGAAGTTAAAATCTCTTGAGTTTGAATCCATAATTGTGTCTTTTGGATTAAAATGGTGAAAAGAATGTCTCTCTGTCTCAGTCCATATGGAATCATATTCCTGAATAAATTGATAAGGTTGGAGGATTAGATTTTCTGTTAAATTTCGATTTTGATGTATCCAAAATACCTATGAAATGACCTGCTTTTCACATTCAAGCTCTACAGTTTGGGAAACTGCTGCTTGCCAACAATTTCTCTCCACATAAAGCTGTGTTAAAGAACAACAGAATGGTAACTGTTAACAAGAAATCAGATATTCAACTGGTATGTCAAACTGGTATGAAAGTGGAGTTTGTTTTATAGATGATTTGATGAATACAGATGGAACTCTCTTATCTTATAATGCATTCTTAGAAAAATATTAAATTAGCATTTCAATTAATGGCTATGTTGTTTTAGACCTTTTACAACAAGCTTGTGCACTTTAACTATAAACCAAATTCATATTGAGGATAAAAAGTGTGACCACAAATGGGTTACCCAGGCCTTTAACAAAAGAATATTTTGTAATTTTAGTACCAAGACAAGACATGACTTGGAGAGCTCCTTTCGAAAGAAACCTTTTACTTTCTGTGTGTCATGTCCCCTTGTACCCAAAATGAAAGAAACACATTTTAAGATGATATCAGATATTTATCCTGTGGGAGATTTTCTACATAGATGGTTTAACTTGGATCCAGAACCTTGCACTTTTTGTTCTCCAGAGAATAACTGTTATTTTATAACTGGATTTTTTCTATGTATTTTGAGGCAATGTACACAACTGGATATGCTTGAACACTTCCAGTGTGCTGCTGCTGTGAGCCTTGTCATTTTGGTCTTACAATGTTCATATTAACCTGCTCAACATGATCCTGGTGTTTTTATTTTTCACTATTTTGTCTGTTAAAAAAATCCTATTCCTAATAAAGAGCCTGGCTTCAAATTCTCTCCTGTAACCACTAGAATCGTGAGCTTCATTTGAGTGGAGCTAAAGCGCTATGGGTGACGTCAAACTTACTTAGTCCACTTCTTTATACACGCACGCACACTTCCGTTTAATCTGTGAAGCCAGCATCATGTATCAATATTCTCGCATGATGCATAGTCAGTTTTAATTTGTCATGACTTTTCCATGACTGTACAAACCTTGATTTGAGCTGCGTTTTGAACAACTTTCATTACTCACCAATGACATTCAAACTATTTTGTGTTTGTGGTTTTCAGATTCTAGAATGTGATGATTTCATACTCCCAGATGGGGGCAGGAGTCAGATTTCCATTTTAATTACTCTGTACTTTCATAAGAAACATCCAAAAGATAAATTCATAAATGTTGAACTTTCATTTATATTCAGGAAAAGAGATGTCACAAAAATTTCAAACAAGATTTTGATACTATGGAATGGACTCGATACTCAATACTGATTCTGATATCATGATGATACAGCTCAAGGTCATTCTAAAGCTATGCAGGAAAGGTTCATTCTGTCCTGTAAATGGTGTCCTGTGACGTTTAGTATGTCTGCATGTGTTTCTTGGCAGTTTCCATGATGATACAATGCACACTTAAGCAAACACCTCCAAAAAAGATTTAAGATCATCTGAAATCTCAAGAAAAAATACAAAATGTATTTAAACAACTTTTCAAAACTCAGATGTAAGTCTAACAAGGGGAACAGTGCGTCAGACAGAACAGTACTTCTCAAGGGAAAATTTGATGACATCAGTAGGCAAAGTGACAATATCCACCCACCTGACCATCTTCTTGTCCTTGTTGTCGTCCTCCTCTTCCTCGTTCCTCATCTCTGCTCCTGTGGTGACTGAAGAGTTGAGCTCTTTTTGCACACTCAGGGGGCCTTTTTTTGGAATATTTTTCTGCAAATACATAAAGCTACAGCTATAAAAAAGAAGCATGACACCAGAATTACACAGGCAATTAAAGAGACAAAAACATGCTCTGTGAAGATTGAATGTTTGTGTAAGCCCAGGTGGTAATCATAAGGATTTAAAGGCCCTGTACTCTATTTTTACATGTATTTGAGTAAAATGTGTCTTGTCTCAATACAGATCTATTGTATAAGCAGCTCTTGAGGTCAACAGGTGTCTGTTATACGATGTCTACTAATTAGAACACATTTTATTGTCAAAGAATCAGGAAGTCTGTATTAGCATGCTAGCTGTTGCTAGCTTTACCAACATCATAAATTGTGAAAAGCACTAAACTTGTCATGGTAATAATAATAATAATAAAGATGTTCTGAATGCATAAGGTAAGTGAGGAATAACGTTGCACCACTGCAAATGGTTTAAAATTAACTAGTTCTGTTTTTCAAGTTTTTAAGATGAGTAATAATCAGATACAGTGCCTTTAAAATAGATTAAAGCGGATTAAAAAGTGTCAAAATCTACAGGCCAGGTCCAAAAATGTCTGCTCTCGAGACCCTCCAGCTATATATGGGGCAAGACCAGACAACTCGACTAGTCTAGTGTCTAGTGTTTTATACCTTTCAGAGACTCTCTCTGCTCTGCTCTTCCAAACCTAAATTTACTATGGATTTGATAAGTTGGCCTCTCAATACAATTGACATCTTCTTTTCGACCAGGAACTCAAGTCCAGGGGGAACCTGTTTGCCCCGGTCCATGGAGGACATAGAAGACATTTACCTATTCAGAACCAAAGACTTTTGCTGATTGGATTAGGCAAGGCCCTGATTTTTTGGAAAATCTGAATTACTGAGGCAGCTGTTCAAAGCCCCACTTGGCTGCCCAGAATGACTGAATCGAGGGGCAGAACTGTGAGCACTCGAACTTGTGACTATGGGCCGGGTTGCCCTCCCCAGTAGCTCCAGTCTCAAGACTGGTTGGTATCAATTCCCTTGGAGATTACAGCAGGGAGACGCTCTCCCCTAAATACCCCTCGCAGCCTCGCACACCCGGCCGGTCGGGTCTGTTGTATCCAGCGCTCAGTGGCTGCAGGATCCAGATGGCTGCTGCCTACTTTGGGTTAACTCCATGCCTGTCCCCTACCCTGTTGCTAGTCCTGTGAAATGTTTGTACTGTGTTTTGACTCTTTTTTTTTTTTTCTCCCCCTATCCTCATGTTACGCTGCAGTGTTTATTCCTGTCTGCTCCGTGTCTCCCAGTCCGGTCCAGTAGTCTCCCTCATGTATTGTATTGTATGTTTGTAATGTACGGACAGGGTGACAGGTCCAATTTCGATTCCTTTGTATGTCCATGTACATGTGAAGAAATCGACAAATAAAGGCCATTATTCATTGTGTTCATTGTGTCTTTTCCAAGGACACAATAACAGCTATGTAATGCTGGAAGATAGATCACCAACATAAACAGCAATGCAAAGGTTTTTCTTCAGTCAGAATAAAGTATATTATGGGATATTAACATGTCAAGAAAAGTTGAACAAGACATTCATAGAGATTTCCTTGTTTATAATATTGACCTTTTGAGAACACACTTCCTTGAGCATGCTATTCATCAGAGCTTTGCAAATTAGCATTAACCTTTTCGACTGTGTTTTACGAAAAAGGCAAGTTAAACAGATAAACATTAGTCTATTTAAGAATCACTTAAAGAACAAATTGTATTTAGACATTACAAAAACAAGAAAAATATTAAAGAAGAAATATTGCGCATTATTTGTATTGTTATAAACATTCAGTCCCTTTGCTTTGGTTGCTCATGTTTTTAGAATTTAAAATAATGTCTCTCTTCAGACAAGAAGCACCATGTTTCTTCAATTAACAGCCACCAATTAGGGTTTGTAACTTTTTCCAACACACTAACAGAAACATGCAGCTGTATGCACATGATTTGACTGATGATTATCTACTTGTGCGGGAGACCTCTAGACTGTTACCTGTGATATCACAAAATGGGGAATTTCAAAATTGTGTGTTTTAATGGAGCTCAGAGGAAGCAGATGTACTAAACAAGGATTTGTCTAAAGTGTGTGAATAATGCCTACTACAACTCCAGGCATGTTTTTGATGAGGAAACAATGTTAGAACATGGTTCAAATCTCAAAAAGTGCATTTTGCATAATTCTTTAGACAAAAGCTCAAACCTTCAAAGGCAGTTGGGAGAGGAAGGCTATCCCGGGCACTTGAGGAGGTGGAATGGCCCCTAGACCCTGGACGGGCCCTGGATGTGGCTCTGGGGGTGGGTCTGGGGGTGGGTGGGGCTCCAGGGGTTGGTGGGGCTCAGGTGGTGGGTGGGGCTCCAGAGGGGGTCGGGGCTCCTGGGGGCCTGGGACAGGTCTGACCCCTGGCGGAGGAGGAGGAGGAAGGTCTAGAGCTCTGTGGCTCACGTCCAGCCAGTCTGTGTCAGAGGGACCTGGAGACAACACAATGTCACAGTGTAATATTCACTTACAATCTTTACATAAATGTAGCATGTCATGTGCTCCTCAAATCAAATTTAAACACAAATACAGACATTAGTACTACCTACAAGTCTGTCTGATTTTAATATAAGCACTGACTACTGATCTTACAAATAGGGGAAGCTCATTTCATTTTCTGTCTCATATCTGACCATATCAGCAATCATATACTGCCTTCATCTACATGAACGTACCATCAAATATAATTTATCGTAAATTAGTTTAAATTAGAACAAATCTTTTAATTTGCCATTTGAAAGATTGCATAATTGTTTTCATTTTATTTTCAACTAACATTAATTCAGTTTTATAGTCTCTTTTATAGTCTCTCCATAGCCATAACAGTTATCTATGCCATTCTATTCCAGGCTGTGCCCAAACCTCCTTGTTAAAGCCTGATCTCGTCATGTTTCAGAGGCTAAGCAGGGCTGGGCCTGGTTAGTACTTGAATGGAAGATCACTGGAAATATCACATACTACAGTGGGGCAGCAGTGTCAAAACTTGTGTCCTCAGGCTCAATGTTATTTTCTATTTATCTGCTCATCTTTTCCCGTCTAGACTACTGCAATCACATCGCTCTGGCTTTAGCTTCCCTTCACTGGCTGCTTGTGTGTTTTAGAATTGATTTTAAGATTTTATTGATCATTTTTAAAGCTTATTTAGGTCTGCACCAAGTTATATTTCAGAACTTTTGTCCTCACAAAGCCCTCCCACAGAATTGTTTTTTAAAGCGCTTTAAAAAGATGTATTACTGTTGTTATTATTATTATTATTATTATTATTATTACATTTCACAAATTGATTAATTGACCAGTCCTTGGACCGAGTCAAGTCGCGGCGTGGAGCCAAGCCACGTGTGGCGCAGTGCCCCGGCCCTGGCCCCGGCGCGATCCTTTCAGTCCTTTCGTCTGCGGACACTCGACAGTCTACGCGGGCACGCTTTCGGGCCCGTACTGACAAACAGTCCTGGTTTAGTACTCCTCACTTCTTCTCCGTGCACCACACACCCCCCTCTCCTCACTTCTCCGTGCATGGAATCTTTATACTGTGTTTCTGTAGAATAAGATGCTTTAATAATCATAAAATACTTACTGAGGAGTGGATTGTTTCAGACGGAGCACTACTGAAGGCCTAAGTGTGAAATGCACGGTCTGACACTGGTGTTACCTGTCCAGTGGTGTGAAAGGCTGGGGTAGTACCTGTCCAGTGGTGTGAAAGGCTGGGGTAGTACCTGTCCAGTGGTGTGAAAGGCTGGGGTAGGATAACAGCCCGAAGACCAGGAGCAGAGCCAGGAGACCCAAGACGAGGCTCCTCTGCAAACGCGACAGCTGCTTCCACTTCTGAAACACCCCAAAAAGAGATTAAAATGTAAAAAAAAGATCTCACATTTAACTGTGTTTGATTAAAGGGATTTGGAAATGCTCGGTCCACCCAAGCAAATCAACACAGCAGCCAATCCGATAATGCCGCCTTTAAGATGGAAAGTGAAATTAGCGAGCGCTGATGAAACGATCTGATGCAATGCTGTTCTAATCTAAACTAGGACAGATCTTATAACCGTGATTATGCACATTAGGATTCTACTGAAGTCCATTTGGTGCAAAAAAGTCTCCATTACCTAGAATGAATAGAGCATGTTTCAGTATGTGCATGATCACAAGAAGTACATCAAATAGGCTAGACTGCTTCAAACTATTTGTGAATACTAAACAGCTTTAAAATTTGTACTAGTGTGTGACAATTAGGGCTGTTCATGCATATTTAGGCAGCTAGATGGGTAAAACAAAATAGCAGCAAATATCGGTGTGATATTTGGCAGATATGTGGGTCTATCTCTAATTTTAGTATCCTGTCAGCACTCATTCCTGTTCAATGTTTTCCACTTCTCTACTTTTGGAAGAGCTATTATTTGTTTATCACTTTTTATCTATACTGTATTTTTGATAGTGTCTTTGTTTCTTTGAATTTGTGTTTACAGAAAATAATAGTATTCTGTGGCTTATCTGAGTGTATCATTTATTAATATAGAGAATGCAGAGACATACTTTATACAGCTGTAGTGTTATGACAAACTAATAAAGTTAAAGAGACAGTTTGGAATTTTGGACATAGGGCCTCATTTCCTTGTGGTCCAGAGTGTTGGAGACGTGTGGAGACACTTTTTGAAATATTCCATCCAGTCCTTGTATTTGCAGAGGTCACTGGTGTTAGACTAGTGCATGTCAATGGTCATAGTTCTACTGCCACTAAAAACAGTCTTACCCACTCCACAAAACACCTGAAACAAATCTATTATTACACCAGACTGTCCATGTGAATATCTGTGTTGATACTTTGTCGGTAAGATAGGTGCTGGGTGATACCAGTCCGCCGCTGCCAAGTTTTCTATCAGGAAGTACAACTCACTGCTGCTGCTCACACAGAAATCCTTCAAATACAAGGCCGGTTTTACCTCTAAAATTATTGTATCGACACAGACATTCACATGGACAGTCTGGTGTAATAATAGATTTGTTTGGGGTGTTTTGTGGAGTGGGTAAGACTGTTTTTAGCAGCAGGAGAACTATGACCATTGACATGCACTAGTCCAGCACCAGCGACCTCTGCAAATACAAGGACTGGATGGAATATTTGTCTCCACACGTCTCCAACACTCTGGCTCACTAGGAAATGAGGTTCTGTGTCCAAAATTCCAGACTGTCTCTTTGAAACTCAATTTTCATAAGACCCAATTTACACTGAAATGAATCCGCCAATGAATCACCATATCACTGTACCGAAAACGATCTGCATCCACACATGTAATTTCTGTGTCCGCAATCCTTCCTTATCCACACAGCTTTGAGCATATGTGTTTATGTTTTACAGAAACGAAACTTAAAACTGCATAGCTAATTTGCATGAACTGAGCGCTCAAAAAACAACTTGCTATTGTGCGCTGATGTGGTTCAGCTTCTGTTGGACTAAAGGACACGACTCTGCAATATATGTGTTCTTTCTGAAACAGAGGGATGTTCTGCTGATGGTGAGTCTGTTCTGTGCTTCTGTCGCATTGGAGATGGTTCATGTGAAACTTTTCAGAGATTATATGTCATAGGCATAGACCATAATATGACTATACTCTAGCCTCTTAATGTTTTGGCAGTGAATTAGCTACTTCGCTGCGCACAGACCTACATCAGCGTATCAGTGTTTTTAGGCGTCCACACAGTGTAGGATCAGATCTGTCCTCAGATGAATTCAAGGGAGCTGGAGGCACCAAATCGTTCTGTCTCTGGAGCTGTTTTCAATCAGATTAGTGTGAACGAACACTGCATCCACAACGAAAATGATTCAAATACATACTCGTGTGGACGGGGCCTAAGGAAGACTCAATATTCAATACCAATCGTGAAAATGTAATAGTTTTTTTTTATTAGTATTACTGATATTATACTAGTTCTAATATCAAGATAATCAAAAACTATTAAGAAAGGTCAAAACATTTTCATTGTCAGTATTTGTTCAAAAAGTCTGTAGTTTTGATCATAATGTTAGAATCATTTATTATCTAGGTATTGGTTTGTTAGAAAATCCTATTCATGGGCTTTAGGTTCCATTTTACCATTCAAAAGAATATTTAGTTTTATATTGTTAATCACTATGGAAACAGCAGCAGTAGAGTTCAATCAGTTCAGCTTCCCGGTGCAAGCTGCAGCTCTCTGAAGGAAGACATTAAGGAGGAAGTGGACTGATTGAATGCACTTTCACTAATATACATAACTATAGATGTATGTATGAGTGAGCATAATTACAAAGCTCCTTCAACTGTCACTCACACATCACTAAACCTGTCCGTCTCACATTTATTCAATTACAAATGTTATGATGGCTCAAAATTACTTTCATCATTCTTACTGTGCGCTATTGTCACCTCGCCACAGATCTCACCAGTAACATAGCCTGGGGGCATCACTTGCTTGTTTAACGCTATACTGTGGAACATTCCAGGCAATGTAATAACATCTCCACAGAGACAAGCAAGAATGCAGAGAAGTTACATGGTGCTCCTTTAAACTACTACGCCACAGAACCTTCAATATGCTGTATTCATGCTTAGGTCACAAAACCAGAAAACGTTTGGAAACATGTACTGTAGATGACGACTTCCTTTGGGCTCTGTTGGAGAAAGTAAATCTAGGAAAACTGAGGAAATGGCCCAGTGTGGTATAGGATTTTGACCCCGCGGTGAGGTGATCCTATTATGGTATATTGACCCCCCCCTATGAAAATCTACATTTTATTCATAAAGTACTTGAATTCTATAGAAAAACTTTGAATATGAATACTATATCTGCAAATTAAAACATTAACATATTTAAAAGTGTGAACTCAGATGTATTTTTTATGTCGATTTTAAATTTTGAATGTTAAAAATGACTAAGTTGTTTAAATATATATTTTACTTAAAATGAGATAGTAGTTATTAATTAGTTAGGTAATAAAAGTGATGTATAATGACTTGGAATCTTGTTAAAATAGGCAGGGCTGATCAATTGAGCAGTTAAATAGGGGATAGGAGAAGATTTGTTAAATGGTTTCTGTAATCAAAAACTTCACTTAAAATTACATGTGGATTATGTGAACATAGCAAACTAAAACCCATAACAATGTGAAATACAATATAAAAAGTGACAAGATTGCTATGTATATGTAATTTTAACAATATAAAACGTTACATTTACACAAAATACCGAGTCGTTCTCCATCAAAACGTTCCTTAAAATACCTTAAAAAAAGTGAATATGTAGCAATATATAATAAAAGTAAATGACATGAGAAATAATGATCATATAAGTAACTACAAAAGAAAAAATAAGGGGGGGGGGGTCACTTTACTATAGTGGTATGTTCACCCCGAGGTCAATATACTATGGGGGTCAAAATACATCGGTCAAAATACACCGGTTTTCTTCAACTAGATGTCATTGCATTCATGTTTTTTCCTTTTATAAAATGCCACTTAATTTGTGTATTAAAATTTGTCTAATAAAAAAAAAAAAAAAAGATGTCATTGTAGCGTTCCGTTATGTTCGGCAGATCCACAGTTCCAACCAGCTGCCTGTGAGTGACGTGGAAGCTGCGATTAGAGTCCCGTCCCCCGTGGAAAGCTTTGGTAGGCTGTGAAGACGCTGCTGCTGAATCCACAGTTTTAATATGGATGTTCACTACACTGGAAGTCATCATCTGCATGTTTCAAAAATCTTCTGGTAAACGTGAATAGAGTCCATAACAATAACAAAGAGGGACTAAAAACTAGAGGGATTGCTTTTAAAAATACATTCATTAGTCATTCATTAGTCATTCATTAGTCATTCAGTTTCTTGGAGCCAGATCACAGTATAGATTTGATCACTGTTCATGTCAAAGTGATTACCTTTGTATAGTCTTGAAGAGGGAACTAAAGTCATCTGCTTCTAGTGCAGCAGTCGACTAATAAGCTGCTGATCGATGAGTACTTGTAAATAATGCATTAATATAAAGACAGATTCAACTGGTGAATCACAAGTTTAATCTGTTTTTCTTTTTTTTACCGGGAAATGGCCCAAAATACCAAATCTTCAGCTAATGCACTCACTCAGTTCTCCTTCTGCTGTTGTCCCATAGAAATGTTTATATTGTAAATCAAATGATAAGTTGACAAATACAACTTTTTGTGGACTAAAAGACAGAGGGAGTGGCACCAGACTGACATTCCACTTTATAAAACACTGGACTTACTAGGCTTACAGCTGCAGCACAGTACAGGGACAGTGCACAACACATTAACCAAGACAAAAGTCATAGAAAAGATGCTAGTGCAGGTTACAGCCTGGATGCTCATTTACATGTGTAGTCCCTGAGCGGGCTGGAAATACTAAATACTAAGTACACATTCAGTGTATAGAGATAAAGTGACCAAAAATAAATTAAAAACAGACATTACTTAGGGTTACAGTGTTGAAATAATATTCTAAAAACAACATACACCAGACACACAACCACATGCACTCATAGCTCCTTCCACCCTGTATCAAGGCCCAACATTTGCACACACACACATTCTATATTCTACTCATCTGTAACAGAGATATGCAAAAATATCAAAATATCAATATATCGTATTGTTGAATGTGATGATACAGTATCGATATCTTGGGCTGCTGTAGCGATATGTCGCCAGGAGTATTTTTGGAATATTTTACTAAATTTTTTTTTTTACATTGCTTCAGTTTTGTTGCTTGTTCAGAGGAAGGAAACTCGTTTTGATGTTTAAAATGGCTGTGTTTCATATGAACTTTGCACAAGAAGTGGTTAAACA